AGAGAGAGAGAGAGAGAGAGAGAGAGAGAGAGAGAGAGAGAGAGAGAGAGAGAGAGCATTAAAGACAGAAGCGTGTGCATGCTAGGACAGTACTCTCCCACAGAACTGTGGGCCCAGACATGGTTTCATTCTTTGAGACAAGTTTTTAATTAGTTGAACTCAGCCTATAACCTAGGCTGGCCTTGAATCGGAGATGCCTCTATCAGTCTTCTAGGTGGCTGGGATTACAGGCCTGTGCTACCAGGTCCAGTTCACAGTCTATAATTTTGAGTGGTGACAAAAACTTACTCAAGTAACTAATACATGTTTGTATAGGAAGTGAATCCATTAAGTTCTAGTATTTATTCTACTCATGAAACTTACCACCACTAACAGTCATTTAAAAATGATTTTCTTCTGTAACATGAACCCTTCAGTGTGGTCATGTGCGTTTGGGACAACAAAAATTCAGTTCAGTCACTTAACTTTTAATCCGTTTATTTTTGCTTTTAGGACATTACATTATTAGCAATTTAATGAGACATAAGAGACTAAGATGTTTTAAAGCTAAGAAGAGGACTTTTTTTCTTTCAGAACATAAAAAGCTACACAGAAAAGCAGGTCCAAATCATATGCTGTAACAAACACATGAAAAAAAAAAAACTCCAGGATACCTGGGTGTGGTGATACTTGGAAAACTGAGGAAGGATGATGGCTATACAGTGAGATCTTGATTAAAAAAAACAAACACCAAACCGAACCGAACCACTGAGGTATCTCTTGATAGTCAAAAGTGAATCATGTGAACCTTACCCTTAAAAGTAACATAATTCAGTGCTGGGTAAATAATCCAAGAGTGTGGCACTGGGTTTGATCTCTAGAACCATAAGAAAACTAAAAGCCCTAATTAAATCTCTCATCCATAAAACCATATTGCCTTCTCTGAACTCCTGAAAGACACTTGCTGTAAATCAAGATACACTTCCTTTCATTGCCCATATAGTCTTTCACAGATAAAAATTATATCTCAGAGCTGACAGTAAATTTCACTTGAGACTTTATAGCACTTTACGAGAATGGCAACAAACACCCAGTCCTTACTGGGTGGCATGTACGTTTTGGCAAATATCTTCTCACAATTAAGTAGGAAGTTGGTGTGTAATGGTGATAAGATGTAGACTCTAAGTAAGATATAGGTTACACACACAAAATCAATACCTAATAAGCAAATTGCCTGGGCAAGGGGGTTAATATACCTTTTACTTAATTCTGTGTAAGCACTCTATTACTGAGTTATGCCCTCAGCCTTGATTTTATTTCATTCTGAAAGAAAAATTGAATACTTCTCTTTACAGTATTTAAATGAAAAATAATGAAACACATGCACAAATTATTGCAATCAAAGATAAGTAGTAACTATAAACACTACTCTTATTTAATATCATCAGAATTCAGGGTTGATGAATAATCCAAATGGAGTGGGTCAGGGTGATAGTTATTCAAAGGCAAACTTCATATTGCGCTCCTGCTCCTTGCAACGATACTCCTCAAAAACCTTTGTGACCTCTTTCATCTTCTTCTGCATTATGCCTACAGGGAAAAAGCCATACAATCATTAGTCAGAGTCACATGACATACAAAACCTTACATCTCAATTTTAATAGTTTTAATTTTTAGAAAATGAGAGAAAAAAATTCATCCTTTTGGAAACTGTGAAAACAGTGGATGAGAATCATCTTTATTTGTTCTCTTTAGTTTTTCGACAATAACAGTCCACCTTAGGTTTGTGTTTTGTTGTAGTGGGTATTGGCTGTTTATTTTTACTCATCAGTGCCTAAAAGTACAATTTAGGGTGCTCAGTAAACTGAATGCATAATTTTGGTAGGTCTGAGCTACCTATAAGATATGAGTTCATTGGGAAAATTTGCATTTCTGTTGTTTTCCAATGATTTATTTACCTTGGTGGTTTTTAAGTTTGCTCAGAGGCAGTGTACTGAAAAATGCTATTAACAGTTACCATATCAAATAGTACTTTTCTGCCATGAAAAATAAACTGTTGAAGGATGTAGTTGGAAGTTTTCCTGTATCCTTCCTGGTCCCATGGCTGCTCAGACCCAAATAAACACACACAGGCTTACATTATTTTTAAACTATAGCCATGGCAGGCTTCTTACTAGCTAGCTCTTATATCTTAAATTAACCCATTTCTATAAATCTATTCCTTGCCATGTGGCTTGTGGCTTAATGGTACTTTACATCTTGCTTCTCCTGGTAGCAGCTAGTTCCAACTATAGAAGGAAGTATGTTAATCAAAGATTTTCTATAAAAATGTACAAATAGAACTGGACATTAATGTTTAGTAGGTGATAAATAATAGTGGTACCCCAAAGGAAAGAAAAGTCTTGCAAAATAAAAAATAAAAATTTAATTGACCTACTTTATTTCTTTCACTCAACCAGAACAGTCTTAATGTTTACTCAGTTTTTTAAAGCATAATGCCTCATCTTATCATATAACATATACACATTCTGCATGATCAGACTCTAAGAACGGGTAATTTAAATCATGGTTATATACTGAAGGGCCAGAACAACAATGAATAATGAGTTTGACTAAATAAATCTCTTCTTTTGTTGTAATAACAAACTGCAGGGTCCAGATCCCACCCCCCTTAAATAACTGTTCTAATGTGATGGGAGCATAAATGAGCAGTACAACGAGCCATTAACTTCAGACTAGAGATGTCAACATAAGCACAATTTACTAATTTGCTGATTGATACATATTAAATGCAAAGGAGTACATTTATAACAATCTTAAAAATCAATAAAATGTCAAGAAACACAAATCAGCATTATTAAGGGAGGCTTACTATAAACATTTTGTCATGTCTTCTAATTGAATTCCCAGGACTATTTCTGTATTAACTCACTTTAAATGTTTTAGGACTTTCATTCATTAAGGGTAAACACTGCACATGGTACTTACTGCCCAGAATTCTGGTCCCAAGACCAGCATTATTGATTGGTTTCTGTCAATATATTAAGTTAATACATTACAGTAGAAGTAAATCATTAGTAGTAGTCACTTCAAAGAAGATATACCATACACATTTTTTTTTCATTTTTAGAAATATACTGGGGCTGGAAAGACAGGTCAGAGGTTAAGAGCCTTCCCTGGCTGCTCTTCCAGAGGACATGGGTTCAATTCCCAGCACCTACATGACAGCTCACAACTGCCTATAAATACAGTTTCAGTGGATCCAACACCCTCACACAGACATACATGCAGGCAAAATACCCAAAAAAAACCAAAAAACCAGTGCTCATAAAAAAAAATTAAAACAGCCATGCAGTGGTGGCGCACGCCTTTAATCCCAGCACTCGGGAGACAGAGGTAGGCAGATCTCTGTGAATTTGAGGTCACACTGGTCTACAAAGTGAGTTCTAGGACATCCAGGACTTTTATACAGAGAAACACTGTCTTGAAAAACATGTATACACACACACACACACACACACACACACACACACACACACACACACATACACACACACAACGAAAATACAAAAACAAAATTCTAATCCCAATAGGAAACTTGGGAGCAAGGGAAACGTTCACATATTAGAATGCTTGGTGTTTGTACAACTCCACAGACTTATCTAGTGGGTTAATGGCAAAGTATGTATTTAGGCATGAAATCTCAACAATATATTTTCGTAAGTGTGACCTGCATCATGATCACAGCTCTTGACATGCCAACATAGATGGGGGATTTCCCAAGGCCACACTATTAGATGAAGAGCTATAGGCAGTACTGGCTGCTGAGGAAGGGAGAGTTAGTTATCTCTAGGGATGAGCTCCCTGATAGTTAATCCAATCCCAAGTGCCCAGCTCTAAACACATGTACATAGGAGCAATGCTAAATGGACACAGTAGGCTTTATATATACATGTATGCATCTATGTACATACACTCAGTTTCCTTTCTTAAACACCCCAGGACCACCTGCCCATGGGTGGCACCACCCACAGTGGGCTGGATGTTCCCACATTAACATTAAGATAATGTCCTACAGACTTGTCTACAGGAAATCTGATGAAGGCATTTTCTCAAATGAGATTCCTCTTCCCAAATACTAGTTTGTGTTGACCCTCCCAAAAAATAACAACAACAAAAACAGGATATCCCCCCACCAAAAGATTTTGATAAAATTGCTTCCAGCCCATCTCCTGATGTTGGGATATATTTTCTTGCAACTTAGGCTGACTTGCAAATATTTTAGACAATGATGTATGGAGACTTCCTAGAAGGTTACACAAAGAAGAGATTTTTGTCATTAAATTCAAACAGTTTTTTACTGTAATTAATATTTTTAAAATGTATTAGTTACACATAAATATTGAATACTATTAAATTCACTGTTGAAGAAGATACTCTTCTCTCAAAAGCATTGTTATAGTCTATCACTTTCTCCTAGAAAAATAAGTGGGGCAATGGGAGAAAAAAATACCTTGACAGAAAAATGGTCAGAAATACAAATAGGCAACTCATTAGCTGATGTGCAGATTGCTTACAAATGTTTAAAAATACTTGTCATAAGTAATCAGAAAGATACAACTTGAAATAAAGAAATATTTTTGCATATAAGTTTTGTCAAGAGATGGTGGTGGTGTTGTTGCTGGTAATTACAAGTAGGATGTAGAAAATGGGTCCTCTAATGAATGAATTCCTGATAGAAATACAAATTAGTTCACCTTATCTGAAAGAAAATACACACACACACACACACACACACACACACACACACACACACCCCAGAAGCCTTTAAAAGAACACTGCTTCTGATTTAGCATTTTTATATCCTCGAATCACGGTGTGTATTAAAATTGCCAACGGAGGAGCTGGAGAGTTGGTCCAGTGGTAAAGAGCAGTTGCTCAACATTCCTGTTTGGTTCCCAGAACCCACATGGTGGCTCACAAACATCTGTGACTCCAGTTCCAGAGTGCTCCTTTTGGCCTATTTGGGCACAGTATGCACATGGTACACAGACATATAAACAGGCAAAACATCCATACATATAACCTTAAAATAAATAAATTCTAAAAAATTATTGGTAAGTACATTTATTACAGCACATTTAGAAATAAAAAACAATTTGGAAACTTTAAGACTTAACCATGGGCTATAAAGAAACCCTTTGTATGTATATATGTATACATATATATGTAACAACAATTATTTTAAAAGGGGGCCATGAATTTGAAAGAGGGAAAGGAGGGGTAGATGGGGGGGTTGGAAAGAAAGAAAAGTGGGGGGAATGATGTAATTATATTATGATGTAAAAAATAGAAGAAATAAAAATAAACACCATGGCATATCCAAATATTTAGCAGTCATTAGCAGAATGAAAAGATACCCATGTAGACAGGTCTGCCAGCTGTCAGCTTTGTATCTTCTCTTTCACCTAAAGCTGAGGGGTGGGGAAGATAGCTCAGCTGGCTGAAGACTTGCTGTGGAAGCAGGAGAGCTTGAGTTCCAGTCCCCACATCCTTCTAAAAGGTGCTACGGAAGTGGAGACAGGAGATTCCCTGGGCCTGCTGGCCAGCCAGCCTACATGATGAGTCCAAAGTCCCAGTAAGAGAGCCTGTCTCAAAGGACAAGATAGGATGGCTCCTGAAGAATGACACGGAGGATGACCTCTGGCCTATAATGACACAGACACACATAGACACACACACACACACACACACACACACACACACACATGCACACATGCACATATGTACACACACAGCCATAGCCTCCACAACAATAACAGTAACAGTAACAATAAGTTGAATATACTGTGCTGGGTACGTCAGGGACTAATAAATTGTTAACTGTCTACTAAACCCTCAGGTCACAGCTACATTTTGAAAATATAGAAACATTAATGCATAATCTCTGTGAATAAGTTAAAAATCAAAAGTAGAGGGGCTTCACTAAAGGGGTAATCATTTCCCAAGGAGGATCATTCTGACAGAAGTGTCGGAATGCACTGAAGTAGAGTGAGATGAGATAAGGGAGGATCACAAAGGACCACCACAAACAAAAGGTTTCTGCAGACTAAGCCCGCCGCGCTCCTGTGAAATAGGAGTCAAGACATTTTAAACGAAGTAAAAGAGAATAGCACCAAAACATTCAGGGTACAAAGAAAGGAGCAAAACACTTAAAAACTGCAACAAGTTTTGCCCTGGAAATACGGAATGAGTAGGACTAGATAATTCCAAACGGTGTTCCAAGTGGAGCTGCAAACAGGGCGTGTGACTAAGAAGCGCAGCCTCCCTCTCCTCCCTATCTAACATCTGGTGATACTCCCTATTCAAGTTCTGCAGAAGAAGGTTTTCCTTTGAAGACTGTGAACAAGCTAAACCATGGATCAGAGATAGCAGAGCACGTCAAGGGCAGGCATTCTGTACTAAAAGTAAGGATTGAACGGAAGTTTCCACGAGCTTACATGTACACCTACAAAGGAGCGTGGGCTGTCTACTTCCTCCACAGCTCCAAGAATGCTGCCTTAGCACAGGCCTTACTGATGGACCTACAG